GAATTTCTCTGTGCCTCAGCCTCATCATTTGTAAAATACAGATCATTAAAGTAGCTACTTCACAAGTATGTTGTGATATTCAAGGAGAAGATTCATGTAAATCACTTAGCATAGGGTCTGACAGTCGATAATTTGTATGTAAGTCATTGTCATTTTGTATTTTCAGTGTGTATGTTTCCTTGATGTTTACGATTATTAGTACCAGATCTATTCTACTCATTGAAAGAAAAATTATTTTTATAATAAAGGCTGAACTTTAAAAGGATGAAATAGTCAATCATCTACATAGTAAGAAAATATCAACCCCTTCGTCCCCTCACTTCCCACATAAACACAGCATAATCTTCTGTTCACTTCCATCCCACAAATAAAGCACCATCTCTTTGCTGACTTGGTGAAATTAAGTTCAAAATTCAAATATTCCCAGGGCAGGTACTTTTGTACATTTAAACAATAGATTAAACAAAGAATCTAAGGCTGATTTTGATTCTCTGTAAAGGAGAGGCTAGCAAAGGACTGAATGGAAGACGCTGGGTCAAGTAATGCTAGTAACTACCAGGAAAAATCTAACTCTCCCTTCCTTTATATCATGGTTAAGGAAGCTATTTAGTGCACTGGTTCTCAAACAGTTCTGACACATAGAATCACTTGGGTCATTTGTTAAACACTGGACTCCCAAATCTTTCCCCTGGGATTTTGTAGGTTTAGGATAGGGCTCAGGAATCTGAAGTTTTAATGAGCATCCAAGGGATTCCTAAGAGCTGACAAGTTTGAGAAGTGCTGGAGTGATTAGGAGCCCAGGGTTTGGAATCAGACTACACCTGAATTCAAATCCTAGCTCCCCTTCCTGGAGATGGCTGACCATGGAATTAATTAGCTACCCTCAACCTCAGTTTTCCTCCTCCCAAAATGTTGCATTGGGATTAAATAAGTTAATATATGTAAGACATTTGTCTCACACTAAGCACCGAAAAAATTGTTGGCATTATTATTAAGTGTGTTTAGCTTCAATTCATTTATACTTATATATGAATCCTTAGAGTCTCCTGGGCAAGGTGCTAAAATGGTCAATGATTTTCAAGAACTTTTTGTTTGCTCTCCAATACGTCCTTATCTTTGAAGCCAGAGTTAGAGAAATTAGCATTGTTATTGTGATTAGCTGTTGTGGGTCACTTTTTATATATTTATGCCTTATCATGTAAATTAAGCATTCAGTGTGTCTGAAGATTCCAATTCATATCCTCTACCAAAGGCACTGGAAGTCACCTGTCCCTGAAATGTTGATTTTCATCAGTTACAAGGTTTTCAGACTTTAGCCTTCTCTTTGAGTTCCAACTTGAAAAGACCCAAGAACACTCTCCTATAAGTTTCAGTTTAAGCAGGGCTTTAAAAGGGCTTCAGAGTTTGACCTCCAGGTTAGAAGGGAGTAGGTATCAGAGAAACAGAAATGGACAGACAGAAGAGAAAGCAGGGATAAAGTTAAAGACATACCTACAGCAACAAGGAAAACACTGGAAAAGACGCTACAAGACAGATCGACAGTGCCAGATAGAGACTGAAGGAGTTAAGGAGACAAAGACAATGATGGAGAAAACAGACAGAGGCATAGAGATAGGCACAGGCACAGAGAAAGAAATCAAGATATGTGCTAGGATGAAAGCTTTTCTTGTTACTAATACAAGTAGGTTTCACGTAGGGAATTTCCCTAGCAATTGAGGAAAGGGGAAATTCATTCATTCCAAACAATTTTAAAGTAATTGCTGTAGGAAAGCCACTGCTAGGTATCATGTGGAAATACAAGCCTTCCATCCCCTAGATGGGGGAATAAAAGTGTGGTAAGGCAGAATGCAAGAAGCAGCTTTAAAATGTGAGGCCCTTTTTAGTCCTGAGAAGGAAATAATACATTCAGTTGAAGGATGAAGGAGGTATTACAGCATTGGTGCTAGACCCAGAGGCATGAGTACAGATTTAACAGATGGAGGGGGAAGGAATTTTCAAATAACAGGAAGAGCATTAGTACAAACCTTGAGCAAGGAAAACAAGGGGCATGTTCAGGACAGAAGGAATGGTATAATTTGGCTTAAGTTTAGGTTATAAGTAGGGAAAGAGTGGGAAAAAGCTAAAAAATCATTTTGGGTGCATGAGGAGGAGTTGAAGGTAAGATTAAGGAGAAAACAAAGGTTTTTGGACAGGGGAGTTACAAGCCTGTGGGAGGGAAGAATTAGGAGAAGAGGACCTGGAAGGTGTAAGTGGAGACATGAAGGAGACTGTTGCTATTGTATGTTCTGGAAGTTAAATTCTATCAAATGTCTCCTGATCATTCTTCCTACCTGTTCTTTACTTTCTTTTCCCTAGTGTCTTCATCATTATTTGGTTGGATCAGTAATGGTATAAAGTGTTTTGGTGGTTGTTGTTGAGATAGACTTTTGTTCTTGTTGCCCAGGCTGGAGTGCAGTGGTACGATCTCGACCCACTGCAGCCTCTGCCTCCCGGGTTCAAGTAATTCTCCCACTTCTACCTCCCAAGTAGTTGGGATTACAGGCATGTGCCACCACACCTGGCTATTTTTCTTATCTTTAGTACAGACGGGGTTTCGCCATGTTCACCAGCCTGGTTTTGAACTCCTGACCTCAGGTGATCCACCTGCCTTGGCCTCCCAAAGTGCTGGGATTACAGGCATGAGTCACTGTTCCCCAGCCAGTAGTGGTTTAAAGTCTTAATTGGAGGTAGAGGATGAGGTTAACTAAGGAACTGAAGATAGCCTCTAGGTTTCTAGCCCGAGTAATTGGGAGGATGGTAATGTCATTAACAGAAATTAGTTTGGAGGAGATGGGTTTAGCTTTTGACATGTAGTGTTAAGGATGCAAGTGAATCATTTAGAAAAGCCTAGAGGTGGATTATGATGTGTTCCAGGAGAATGACTGAAATAGGCTCTTTGGGAAGAGTTCCCATATACCTCCTTTAGCCATGAGGTCCTTTTTTGTTATACTCTGGAATCATGTTAAGATATCATAACTCTTGGTAGTAGATTCAAATTAGTTTCATTCTTCTACTTGACTGTCACCTCAATGGCTAAGGCACCCTTCCGGACCCAGAAGGAAAAGAGAGAGGGAATTAGTAGATAGTCATAGAATATAGACAGTAGGATGATTCAAAGGTGTTCTCTTTTTCCAGGAGAGCATGGTACCTGCCTGCCTAGATGCATTACTCCGACCAATGAGCACGGAGTAATAACAGATAGTGTGAGAACACACGTGGCAATGTGACATGACTCTGTGTCTATCTACGCTGTCCTACTTTGCTCCTGGAGCTAGGGAAGTGGTATTCTGCTGATCTGTGGACAACCAATAGGAGTAGTATAAATGGCTAAGACAAAATCCTACTGTCCCCACGTGGGCACTGGCTTCTTCTTGCAGGACTCTAACCACCTTCAGCGCTTCATGATGGGGTGGGGAGATTGGTGGAGTGGGGTGGGTTGCTTTAGATATACAGGGAGTGAGGTCATAAACGTTTGGCTATCTCAGGACCTGTTATCACCTACTTCCCACCAAAGTATCTTTTGCTTTCTTCCATCTCCGAAGCCTGCAGCGTGTTTACGCCAACCACATTCAATGTAAAGTATCCCCTAAGCATCACAAAAATGTATGTATCTTTGTCATTTAAAATAGGTACACTCCAAGAATGTGGAATAGGTTCCTGAGTCCTCAGCAAGTTACCAAGAACTCTGCCAATTGCTAGATACCCTGAAGTAATCGATCTGGTACAAAGGCTCTCAACTGTTAAAATATATCAGAATGACCTAAGGGAGGCTGTTAAACATACAGATGCTCAGGCCCTCCTTATGATTATGATTCCTTTAGTTTGGGGTTAGGACCTAGGAATGTGTATATTTAACAAGTTTCCTAAGTGATTCTTTTCACATTGTTAGCAGCAAATTGAACTATTTCCATCTTGACCCTTTAGGACATGAAGTTGGGTCCTATAGGCCTTATTCCCTAATTGTATTTGCACCGTCAATCAATGAGTCTCAAGGAAAATCACAGAGTGCAACATTTGAAAATGCATATTATCAGGCCTCATCCATATCTAGTCTATCAGAATCTCTAAGAACAGTGCCCTGGAATCTGCATTCTTACAAACACCACAGTCATGTGCAAGACACTTGTCTGGAATCCACACTTTGAGAAACACTGGTCTACATATGGAAAGTTAAACTTGCCGTCCATTTTCAGGGGTGATGAGGTTTGCGGCACAGTGGAGAGAGAAGGTAGATCTGATTGGCTGTTGAGTCACTGTGGCTTGGTGGACCAAAAAGGTCATGGTTTGAATCTCAGCTTCAGTAATGTACTGAGCTGTGGCTAGTGTCTAGGCAAATAAGGCCAGATGACAGCTGGAGAAGACTGCTAATTAATTAAACCTGGTCTAAGGGCAGGCCACCAACTGGCAGACACAAGATCTTTTTCAGTTAGAGAATATGGATGAGAAAAATCGGAAAGATCTGAAATATAAGAACTTTTTATTGACCTCTCAAATACCTCTTGCTGTTTATTTGTTTTAGAGCTTAAGCAGTTTCCTCTATAACAGTACCAGAATTGACTCCTGAATTATTATTCATTGTTAAATTATGTTAGGAGTGCATTTGAAATTCAAGAACAAGGTACACAAAGTAGACACTATTTGAAAAGGCATTTAGACTTTTTTAAAAGTGAGGAAGAAATATTTTTTCAGTGATATTTGAAAAATGGACGCAATGTTTGTATTTTTCATGGTGTGTATTTTGTGAAACCATCTCATTATTTTATGGTAACATTTCTTCAACCGTGAAAAGCCATGGAAGGTAGGGCTGGTTTGCTTTTCTATTAATGGGGGCACCAGAGAGCATAGCTCTTACTGGCAGTTAAAGGGAAATCGATGAGGTCACCTGATGGGCGTGTCCCTGGTGAGGCTGTCATCACGTGCGTGCTAGGCCGTTACCACGTGATGATGTGGTGGCACGAGGATGTGCGTGCCCATTGGACTCGGCTCCCCAGCCAATGAGGGGCCTGGCCCTGGTCGCTAGGATACACAGTACCGGACTCCGTAACGGTCATCTTGAGAGGCACCTTGTGCTAGAACAAGCCGAGCTGAGATAGGGCACCCAATAGCCAGCATGTCGGAGAGGAGGAGCCGCAGAGGGTCCTCTGGTGCCCGCCGCCGGGGGCATACCCGCTCTCGCACCGCCCGAGCGGAACTTCTATTTTCGGTTGGCCACATGGAGCGCAGTCTACGGGAAAGCCACTACGCCCAGTGCCTGAGTCACAACGCGCCAGTCTACCTCGCTGCGGTGATTGAGTATCTGACGACCAAGATCCTGGAGCTGGCGGTCAAGGAGGCCCAAAACAACGGCGAGAGGATCATCACTCCGCGGCTGTTGGACATGGCGGTTCATAATAACGGGCTGCTGAGCACCCTCTTTCATACAACAACCATCTCTCAAGTGGCTCCCGGCCCGAACTAGCTGCTGACAACGCCAGACTCCTGGGACCCGGCACGTCTGCTCATCCACCCACCTGGCCACAAAACCCCCAGCCCCAAACCTCTCCCCCGCCCCAAAACCACCACCCCTCTGCCCCAAACCACCAACCCCCTGCCCCCACCGGCCCTAAAGTCTTGGGCCTTCATTAATTCTGTCAATAAAGTGTTTATTGGCAAAAAAAAAATAAACAGAATTTGAGATTTTACATATACAGTGGTTTTTTGTTGTTATTGAAACATTTGTTAATTATGAGTCTTAGTCATAATTAACAGTCAAATGTCAGTCTCCTCTTCAAGTCAACTAGACGGTAAATTTCCTGAGGCAGGTACCTTGTCTCCTTTTTTTTTTTTTTGTCACAGTTTTTTTCACCCAGTTTGGAGTGAAGTGGCATAATCTCGGCTCATTGCAACCTCCACCCACTGGATTCAAGCGATTTTCCTGCCTCTGCCTCCCAAGTAGGTGAGATTATAGGTGCGCACCACCATGCCTGGCTTATTTGGATTTTTAGTGGAGACAGGGAGGTTTCACTATGTTGGCCAGGCTGGTCTCAAACTCTTGACCTCAAGTGATCCACCTGCCTAGGCCTCCCAAACTGCTGGGATTACAGGTGTGAGCCACTGAGCCCAGCCATGGTTTTAGATATTTACATTTAGGTCTGTGATCCTTCATGAGTACAGTTTTTTTGTATGGCTCGACTTGGAGTGTTTTAAAGCAAATCTCTGACATCATATCTTTTCACTGAAATCTTCAGTATATGTCTCGAGTATATGAGGAGCATTTTGAAAACATCATTCTAATATCTTTTTCATGATTATTTACTAGCATTCAGTACCCAACATGTGTTTTAATTTCCCCAACTGCTCACATATTATCTTTTCTTTATTTGAATTAAGATCCAAACAAAATCAGCATATTGCATTACGTTTATTTGTTTCTTAAATTTCTAATCTATAACACTGCCCGTCCGCCATATTCCCATGTCATTTACAAAAATTAAGTAGGTCATTTGTGCCATGAAAGTTCCCACATTCTAGATTTGGGGGATTTTATCTTTGTGGTGTTTTCAACATGTTTCTCTACTCTGAATTTTCAGCAATGCTGTTATTTCTTGATGTACTGATTTTGGATATTATATATTTACTCTGTGGTGTGAAAGATGAGGATCTGGCTAACAGACTACTCTTTACCTCCCTCTCAATAATTATCCCTCCAGTATCTTCAGAAATTGAATAAAAATAAAAGATTTTTGAAGGCTCAATATGTATAGAAGTAAGATCTCACTTCATGCGGTCAATGGTTCTTGGAAGCTTTGATTCTAAGGGAGATGACATATAACAAAACCAGTTTTACTGTAAGGTAACTTACCCAAACAAGAGTTAAGTTCCTAGGTCATATTTCTGGTCACAGAAACAGCATCAGGATTTCAGAAAGAGATGGCAAGAGGGCCGACCAGAGGCAGACAAATGGAACATCTCTCACAGGGGGACTGAGACAGCTGGCAGGCTTTTGACAGCTCCTCAGAGAAGAGACACCTAGAGTGGATGGAGGGAAGACATAGAACCAGTGCTGAAAGAGGAGAAAGATGGGAATGCTGCCCGGGCTATGGTACACCCGGACTCATTTTTGAACCACAGTAGCTCCCGGGAATGGGTGAGTTGAACTGGCAAGGAGCAACCCACTCCTTCCATGGGCCTCTGGAACCTGGGCAGGAGGGAACCCCTCAACCATGGCAGACACATGACATGGCAGGGAATGATGCTTAGAGAAGTGGTGGGGCAGCAAGCCAGCTGATGTGGAGCCCAGAGGATATGGTGCTGGAGCGTCCACAATGAAGGACCGCCAAGGACGGCCCATCTCCCTAGCCTTAATTTGTTCCCATAAGAGACTTTAGCTCTAGGGGAATGGCCTGACCTGATCTCTGCAGAGCAGTCTTGCACACCAGATAGGCTCGGTCTGACCTGAGTACCCTTTGGTCTGCTGGCCTTTACTGGGGCCCCAACCTGGCACACCTGCTTGCAGGGCAGTCTTGGGTGTCCTGGATACTCACAACATAGCTTCTGCGCTGTGGGGAATGTGTCTGACTGGTAGTGAGCTCCAGTGAGGTGGCCCCTATAGCCACGCACCAGACCACACGCTCCCTCCCCATATTGCAGCTTTCCCCAGGTCTGCAGCAACTCCCCACACCACTTTGCTGGCTGCACGGTCAGGTTTTGCTTTACTTGCCCCACCAGCATGTGGGAGTGCATTCCACGCCCCCACTCCCTTCACTGACTGCCATTGCAGATGGACCCTTGACTGGCACAGAGCCAGCAAGCCCAGCGCTGGCCAGCACCTCACCCTTGCACTAACACTGTGCAGAGAACAGTGGATCCTCCCACACCCTGAATGATCATGCCTGCTTGCTGGGCACAGAGAAGGCACCCAGACCTGTGCTGGCCAGTACTCTGCCCCCAAGCCAACACCACCTCCAGTGCAACAGCACATACGGTCTCCAGCAGGGCCTCACCCCAACCCCTCACCAGCTGTGTCGCCACCACCATTGTGGTGAATGCCTGCAAGAAGGCAGACACCCCTTTATCCACTAGCACTCAGCTGCAGCGGCTGCACCTCAGCCCCACCCAGTGCAGTGGACTCCAAACCTCTAGGAGCCAGAGAACAAAGTCAGAGTCCCGTACAAGTCCTCCAGAGTTACAGCACACAGTCCAGGAGTTGGGAGCTAAACACTGGACCCTTAAAGTCTCCCAGAAACAAAGTCAGTCTGCTGAATCCACCTTATACCACAATCAAATCCTCAAGGTCATCACATAGGATAAAAGAAAAAAAAACATTCAAATGTCAGCAACCTCAAAGATTGAAGGTAGATAAGCCCAGAAAGATGACAAAGAATCAGCACAAGAACACTGAAAACTCAGAAAGCCAGAGAGCCTTTTGTCCTCCAAATGACCACATCACCTCTCCAGCATGGGCTCAGAACTGGGCTGAGATGGCTGAAATGACAAAAATAGAATTCAGAATATGGATATGAAGTGAAGATCATTGAGCTACAGGAGTGCATTGAAACCCAATGCAAGGAAGCTAAGAATCATTATAAAACAATGCAGGAGCTGACAGACAAAATAGACAGTATAGAAAAAAAAAAAAAACTGACCTGATAGACCTGAAAAACATACTACAGGGATGTCATTATGCAATCATGAGTATTAATAGAAGAATAGACCAAGCAGAGGAAAGACTCTCAGAGCTTGAAGACTGACTTTCTGAAATAAGACAGGCAGAAAAGAACAGAGAAAAAGGAATGAAAAGGAATAAACAAAACCTCCAAGAAATATGGGATTATGTAGAGAGACTGAATCTATGACTGATGATGTTCCTGAAAGAGATGGGGAGAATGGAAACAATTTGGAAAACATATTTCAGGATGTTTTCCATGAAAACTTCCCCAACATGACTAGAGAGGCCAACAATAAAATTCAGGAAGTGCAGAGAACCCCAGTAAGATACTTCACAAGAAGATCATCCCTAGGACACATAATCATTAGATTCTCCAAGGTTAAAATGAAAAAAACAAAATGTTAAAGGCAGCTAGAGAGAAAGATCAGGTTGCCTACAAAGTGAAGCCCATCAGACTAACAATGGGAAACTTTCAGTTTCTCAGCTGAAACCCGACAATACAGAGAGATTGGAGGGCCAGTATTCAACATTCTTTAAAAAAAGAAATTCCAACCAAAAATTTCATGTGCAGCCAAAGTAAGCTTTATAAGCTAAGGAGAAATAAGATCCTTTTCAGAGAAGCAAATGCTGAGGGAATTTTTTTCCATCAGGCATGTTTTACAAGAGTTTTTGAAGGAAGCACAAAATATGGAAAGGAAAGACCAATACCAGCCAATACGAAGACACACTGAAGTACACAGACCAGTGACACTATAAAATAACCACATAAACAAGTCTGCAAAATAACCAGCTAGCATCATGATGACAGATAAAATTCATACTTATCAATACTAACCTTAAATGTAAATGGGTTAAATGCCTCAAGTAAAACACACAGAATGGCAAGGTGGATAAAGGACCAAGACGACCCATTGGTATGCTGTCTTCAAAAGACCCAATCTCACATGCAAAGACACACATAGGCTCAAAATAAAGGGATGGAGAAAAATCGACCAAGCAAATGAAAAAAAACAAAAAAGCATGGGTTGCAATCCTAGTTTCTGACAAAAACAGACTTTAATCAAGAAAGATCAAAAAGACAAAGAAGGGCATTACAAAGATGTAAGTATCCTAAATATATATGCACCTAAAACAGGAGTGCCCATATTCATAAAGCAAGTTATGAGAGACTGTCAAAGAGACTTAGATACCCACACAATAATAGTGGGAAATGTTAATATCCCACTGACAATATTAGACAGATCATCGAAACATAAAATTGACTAAGATATTCAGGACCCAAAATCAGCACTAGAGCAAATGACCTGATAGATATCTACAGAACTCTCCACCCAAAAACAACAGGTTACACATTCTTCTCAATGCCACATGGCACAAACACTAAAATTGATCATATAATTGGAAGTAAAACACTCCTCAGCAAATGCAAAAGAACTGAAATCATAACAATCTGTTGGACCACAGCACAATTAAATTAGAAATCAAGAGTAAGAAATTCACTCAAAACCATATAATTACATGGAAATTGAATAACCTGCTCCTAAAGGACTTTTGAGTAAATAATGAAATTAAGGCAAAATCAAGAAGTTCTTTGAAACTAATGAGAACAAAGATGCAATGTACTGGAATCTGTGGGACACAGGTAAGACAGTGTTAAGGGGGAAATTTATATCATTACAGGCCCACATCTCAAAGTGAGAAAGATCAGTTAACAACCTGACATCACAACTAAAAGAACTAAATAATCAAGAGCAAACAAATCCCAAAGCTAGCAGAAGACAAGAAATAACCAAAATTAGAGTTGAACTGGAGGAGACTGAGACAAGAAAAACCATTCAAAAGACCAACAAATCCAGGAGCTGGCTTTTTGAAAAATTTAATAA